AAAAAAAAAAAAAAAAAAAAAAAAGAAAGGAGGGACCCTGGCCGCACTCACCACGATCGTGTCGGCCCCGATGACCACGTCGGGCGTCCGCAGGTCCTTCTGCAAGAAAGCAAGATTCCGGTTTAGTGGTGACATGCCGTGGGTCTCACAGAGGAGTCTCCACCCCGTTAGTACGGGCGTGAAACAGCACCGCAGGGTGCGAAGCCAGGCCGACTTTGGAAGTTCAGGCTGGGGACGCTCCACGTCATGAGCAAGGACACGAGTGGGTGTCCCAGCTGGTCCCCCTGCAGGGGCTGGAACGTGGGTGAGGCCGGGGCCCACAGGGGCTGCGGGATCAGGGGTCTGGCACTCATGGAGCATCTCACGGGCACCACGGGAAACACGATGCCTGTTGCGTAAGTTTTTGTTCTTCCAGGTTCTACTTGAGGTTGATCCAGGGGCCCCAAGTTGCCCAGAATTAAGAGGCCAAAAGACTTTTGACCTGTTCGATGTAATTTCAGAAAAAGGTACTTAGGGCCGGGTGCCGTGGCTCACGCCTGTCATCCCAGCACTTTGGGAGGCTGAGGCGGGTGGATCACCTGAGGTCGGGAGTTCGAGACCAGCCTGGCCAACACGGTGAAACCCCGTCTCTACGAAAAATACAAATTTATCAGCCGGACACCTGTAATCTCAGCTACTCAGAGGCTGAGGCAGGAGAATCTCTGGAACCCAGGAAGTGGAGGTTGCAGTGAGCCGAGATGGCGCCGCTGCACTCCAGCCTGGGCGACAGAGCGAGACTCCGTCTCCAACAACAACAACAAAAAAGGCAAGAAAGAAAAAGGAAAAGGTACTTAGGGTGATAAAACAAATCCAGGTTGGAAATTCAGCCGCAGAGCAGCCGGCAGTCACAGGACATCTGCGTGCAGCTTTGACCTTAGTCGCTCCCAGCCCTGGCCTGCCTAAGCTCTGCACTGCCAAAGGCCACAATCAATATTCCTGTCTTCATAGCACTACTCACAACAGCATTCCCTCTAATGGCTTTCTTCCTTTCCTTTTCTCTCTCCTTCCTTCCTTCCCTCCTTCCTTCCTTCCTTTAATGTCTTCCTTCCTTCCTTCCTTCCTTCTTTCCTTCCTTCCTTTCTTTAATGTCTTCCTTCCTTCCTTCTTTCCTTCCTTCCTTTAATGTCTTTCTTCCTTCCCTTCCTTCCTTCCCTTTCTTCCTTCCTTCCTTCCCTTTCTTCCTTCCTTTAATGTCCTTCCTTCCTTCCTTCTTTCCTCCCCTCCCTCCTTCCTTCCCTCCTTCCTTCCCTCCCTTCCTTCCTTCCCTTTCTTCCTTCCTTTAATGTCTTTCCTTCCTTCCTCCCTTCTTTCCTTCCCTCCCTCCTTCCTTCCTTCCCTTTCTTCCTTCCTTTAATGTCTTTCCTTCCTTCCTTCCTTCTTCTTCCTCCCCCCTTCCTTCCTTCCCATCCTTCCCCTCCTTACTTCTTTGGGCACGACGGAGTCTCACCGCTCTGTACCGCCCAGAGCTGGAGTGCAGTGGCGCCAGATCCCTCAGCCACTACAGAGCTCCAGCCTCACCGTGGGTTCATTTAGCCATTCTCCTGCCTCAGCCTCCCAAGTAGCTGGACTACAGGCACCTGCCCACTACACACACAGGCACCCGCCACCCGCCCAGCAATTTTTGTATGTGTGTTTTTAGCAGAGACGGGAGTTTCCACCCGTGTATAGCCAGGGATGGTGTCTTGATCTCCTGACCTTGTGATCCGCCCGCCTCGGCCTCCCGAAGTGCTGGGATTACAGGTGTGAGCCACCGCACCCAGCCCTCTAATGTATTTCTTATTATTAAGTGCCATGGCGTATTGTATGGTAACACACATCAAAGGGGAGCTACATTTACTCTATATCCTAAATCATAGTATTACATTCTTTGTAACAGCAAGTTACAACATATAGTAATAACTGCGTTAATTTTATACATTGTGACTGATATTATATTAATTGAAGTCATACATTATATAACATATAGTAATCGATAAGCTACGTGACTTCTCTATCCTAAATAACGGTAGTGTATTAATTATAATAGTGTATTACGGCCAGGCGCGGTGGCTCACACCTGTAATCTCAACACTTTGGGAGGCCGACGCAGGTGGATCACCTGAGGTCAGGAGTTGGAGACCAGCCTGGCCAATATGGTGAAGCTCCATCTCTACTAAAATAATAGTGTATTACATAGTAGCATATAGTAACAGATAAGTGACGTAATTCTACATGATGATGCAATTATATTGTCATAGTATATTACATAGTCTCACACAGTAACACATACTAATTCTGTGTATCGCAACACATAGTAATAGATGTTAATTCTATATTGTAACTGATATTACTATATTAATTGCAATATTACATTCATAACATAGTAACAGATAAGCTACATGAATCTTAAATCTTAAATGATAGTAGTATATTAAATTATAATTGTATATTGCATTGTAGCATATAGGAACAGATAAACTACATAATTCTATATTAGAAATGATGTTACATTAATTGCAATCAGATATTACATAGTGGCACGGTAATAAGCTACGTAATTCTATATCATACTATTATAATATATAATACTATTATATTAATTGTAGAATATTACAACACATAGTAATACTGGACATTAATTGTATACCATAAATGATACTATTATATTAATTGCAAGATAATATTATAACACATAGTAATAAACTACATTAATTGTATATCATAAATCATACTATTATATTAATTGCAAGATAAATTATTTTTTATTTTTTGGACACGGAGTCTTGCTCTATCGCCCAGGCGGGAGTGCAGTGGCATGATCTCGGCTCACTGCAACTTCCATCTCCCGGGTTCATGCAATTCTCCTGCCTCAGCCTGCTGAGTAGCTGGGATTACAGGCGTGCACCACCACGCCCAGATAATTTTTGTATTTTCAGTAGAGATGGGATTTCACCATGTTGGCCAGACTGGTGTCGAACTCCTGACCTCAGGTGATCCTCCCGCCTTGGCCTCCCAAAGTGCTGGGATTATAGGCGTGAGCCACTGCGCCCAGCCATAAGAGATTAGAATACATAGTAATAGATAAGCTACATTAACTGAATATCATACATGATACTATTCATATCAATTTCAAGAGAATATAACACATAGTAATAATCTATATTAATTCTAGATCATAAATGATGCTATGATATCAACTGCAAGAGAATATTATAACATATAGTAATAGATGAGCTACATTAATTCTATATCATAAATGATACTATGATATCAATTGCAAGAGAATATAACACATAGTAATAATCTACATTAATTCTATGTCATAAATGATGCTATGATATCAACTGTAAGAGAATATAACACATAGTAATAATCTACATTAATTCTATGTCATAAATGATGCTATGATATCAACTGTAAGAGAACATTGTAACACGTAGTAACAGATAAGCTACATTAATTCCATATCATAAATGATACTATTAGGTTACTTGCAATAGCACATTACATTGTAACATAGTAATAGGTAAGCTGTGGCACCAACTGCATCTTGCGAATGACACTTATTTGCATCATGGATATTTAGCACCTGCAAATCCCCTCTTCAGAGCAAAGGAATTTTCATGGGGGCAGAAGGGCAGGGGGCCCCTTGCCTGGTGCATCCGGGTGGCCACCTCCAGGGCCTTCTGCTTGGCGGTCTCCATGGCGTACCCGTACGGAGTGGCGAAGGAGGCTTTGTCCAGCTTCTCTTTAAACCTGGAGGGGACCACCTCAAACCTCAGACCCTGCAACAGAAGAAAAAGGGGTCAGGAGGGTCAACGACAGATCCTAAGAAAACGGAACGGAACGTGCAAGATTGGCAGGAGATGTTGGCTACACGCCCCGATCTTCTCCTCCATCCACCGAACCTTCCCTGAGCGTGGCCGGGGAGTCGGAAACTCACCAGAGCTTTCCCTAAGTGTGGTTAGTGGGCCGGGGACTGACCGGGGGCCTTCCTGGCTCTCGACGGAAGACATTGGTAAAGGAAGAAGCCAGGAACGAAGAGGCCAGCAGGGAACGATTGACTCAGGCCCTGAACGCACGAGTCAATGGTGGCAGCGGGTTCCCGGAGCCCTGACGGTTGGGGTAAAACCATCCTGCCCACAGGAAGTTCAGGAAAAATGCCAGCAGTGATGGCTGCGGGAAAGGAAGCAGTGATGGCTCTGAGTCAATCCCTGGTACCCAGGAAGAAACAACAGCGTCCCTGGGGAGGCCTGGCCTAAGAGGTAGTGATCCCCGCACAGACTGTGGGGTCAGGAATGATGGTGGTAAATGTCCCCACTGGGGGTGCCCCTGGCTGCCACAACCTGCCAGAGCTCAGGGAACTCCGCATCTCCCCCTCTGACAGACAAGTATCGTCATCATGGACACACACCCCCATGTTGGACACACACCGTCATCTTGGACAGACACCGCCATCGTGGGCAGACACCCCCATCTTGGGTACACACCCCCATGGTGGACACACACCGTCATCCTGGACACAAGATTTTTTTGAGACGGAGTCTCGCTCTGTCGTCTAGACTGGAGTGCAGTGGTGCGATCTCGGCTCACTGCAACCTTCGCCTCCCGGGTTCAAGCGATTCTCCTGCCTCAGCCTCCCGGGTAGCTGGGACCA